CATTAATAAAATCATTAATAATTCTTTCATCGATGCTTGCATCAACTTTAAGACATTTAAGAGCAACGGTTAATTCGCTGTCTCTCCACTCGTATTTAAGAACCTTTCCAAACATTCCAACGCCGATCAGAATAGGGTCTATAAAGTTATTGTATTCGATATAAATAATATGCTCATCAGAAATAACTTTTTTCAAGCCACTCGTCTGATATGTTTGCCATAACTTTTTGTTTGTACTGTACAAATCTTGGTCAAAACAACGATATGTGTTTTCTATTTTATATTTTAAAAAAAATCTTTTTACTGCGGCAGGTTTATGTGAAAAATCGAATTTTCATTTTTCACACTTTAATTAACGATCAAAAAATTTCCTTTTTGGGAATTTTTTGACCGGCATTAAAATTTTCCGATTTTTCGATTTTTCACATTCTGTTTACTTAATAAAATTGCTGCGGAGCACAGGCCGAAAATCGCATTTTTGGCCTAGATTATGGCGTTAAAAATTTCGATTTTTCACATCCTATAATGGAGAAGTTGGGTTTGTCGATCTTTTGAAACATTGACCAATTAAATTAAGGCTTGCTGCGCAAGACTGTTATGTCAGACCTGCAATATGTTTGGCAAAATCGTATCGTTGATATTGCCGCACAAATCTTGGCTGATCTCCTGAATCGTTGATTCAGTCGCGCGTAAATCTCCGCAAAGTGTCGTCACTAATCGCCTGATTGGTTCCTCATTTTTGAGATTTACCTGGTTGGGTAACATTGAATACAGCGTCTTCAATAGCACTTAAATACAGTATAACTGTAAATAAGTAAAAATTTTTTAAAAGATTTTAAAAAATTGTAAATATCTTTAAAAATTAATAATAAATTTGTAAACTTTTAATAAATAAGGCTATACAAATTTAATTACTTGGTCTTTATAATATAAAACTTTTAAATAAACCTAGCTGACTAGCTTTTTTTAAACTTTATATATAAAATTTTATAAAATTTATATAAAAATTTTTTTAAAACCCACCTAGTTATTAAAATATATAAAAAAATTTTTTAGAAGTTTTCAAATTTTAACCTAACTAGATTATAAAAACTAATTAATTAATTTTGCATAATATAAAGTTGCTTAGTATATTATTTTAGTTATAATTTTTATTAAAATGCACCTATGGTGTTTTACACCTATGCATATATAATCTCAAAACTGACTAATTAATCAATACAAGATGTCCTAAGTAAAAATACTCTACGCCCCTAAAAACCCTTCTCAAACCCTAATTCTAATTTAAATACTAACACTAACATGAAAATTTTGTGTTGAAAATTTTTGTATTCAAAACTTAGAAAAATATAAAAAATATAATAAAATATATGATAGGTGCAAAACTACTATAGATGCATTTTATTTTTTTTTTTTCCGGTGTTAAGGTGACCTCTTGGCCGGGGACTTTTTATTAGATAATTAACAACGTTACAAT